ATTGCAACGATGCAAAGCCGCTGTAGCCCGACATTTGTCAAGTGTACGTACCGATGGAGGAGGAGGAGGAGGAATCGAGTCTAGGAGAGACATGGAGATACTGGCAAAGCCAAGTCACGAGGTGCAGAAACTAACGACCGGAGTGGAAGACCTGGCAGGCCGCAGACCTTACAGGCTCACATACTGTAGCTCCGGAGGCGTGGCAGTCCAGGTTCTCACTGGTCTGGTCCGGTCGGCCGCGTCCTGACCGACAGGACCCACGGCCGTGGGCGGGACGCAACCTAGCAGTGTGACTTGCAAGCAGGGTGCAGGGCTATCTCTTGGCGGGAAAGGATATCTGTCGCTAACATTGTCCTAGTGGATGGATGATATCCAAGTCATCTATCCTTACAGATAGAGGAGCTGGAGGGTGGACGATGCCGATGAACGATAGCAAGTTACGGAGAGAGGGGGGACTGTCAATGTCACTGAGATGATGAGTAGTAGGCGGGGAGGGGCGATGCAGTAAGGTAGCGGGATGTGTACGTGGGTAAGTTGGTTATGGCGGAGGTCGAGGATGGTGCAAGCGTCGTGTATCCGTAGTATATTTGGCTACTTGCGCTTGCGCTGCTGGAAGCCAAACCTTCTTCCCTGGTCGGCTGCAGGTGGGTGTGTGCTAGTATATCTTTCTCATCTCTCGTGCCTTAGTTATCTGCTGGGGGGGGCCTGGGAGTATGTAAATGGAAGGGGGATTGGATACCAACTGTCGTCACTCTGCGCCTTTTTCGAGCATCATCGTTTATGTGCTAGAGGAGGGATATATGAAGCGAGAAAAGGAAGAGGGACGAAGGAAGGAGCGAGCATGTTGCCCGGGTTCAATTGGGCTTACGTGAGTGATAAATGGCAAGGTAATGTACCTCCATGAGGTAATGAGATAGAGACGCGGGAAAGATAGAACTGCGTTATTAGGGCAGGACACCTAAGAAGGAGGAGGAGGAGGAGCAGGAGGAGGAGAACGTGAGAAGGAAAGGGTGGAAGTCACTTTGAACGGCTCCACTTTCCTCCTCTTTGGACAGGCATCCACCAGTTTAGAAGTGACCACCAGACTGCCATAACCAAAAGTCAGCAAACCAACCCCGCCGATGGAAGGAAGTACGGGTATGCAGTAGTAGTTGCTGTAGACTGTGCCTGCCCGCGATTGCTAACCTAATCGTTTTTCGTGCCTTCCTCTGGAGTCTGATGGGTTCTTTCTGCTCCATAGACCATCGTTCTTACAATGGACCTTGAGGTGGTCTTTCAAGAGACATATCCGTAAGGTAAGGTAGGTAGGTACCTTGGCGGTACTCCTCTTTCTGAGGTGTCTGAGGTGTAATTCGGTGTCGTTGGTTGTCATGCTTGACTTGACACAGTTCCCGTCCAGTCTTTCCGCCTGTCTCTTCTACACCCGCCCGTTTACTTTTGTGCTCTTTCCTCTCGCAACTCTCTCACGCGCACATAAAATTTATCAGGTACCTTCCATACCTACCATTTACGGCCACACCCTGCATTCCACCTGATCGGATTTCCTCACAGAACTGTAAGAAGGGAAAGCACTTGCATCCCAAGGTGCCTTCCCTTGGGGGAGAGCGCGTGAAGATTTACTCAGGTATCCGCACAACCAGATATCATCAGTTGATGTTCCGTCCCTACAGAGTAGAATCCCAAGATAATAGCCCACATATCTGCCCTTTCTTTCTCTCCGCTTCACCTGAGGGAGTCTCCGTCGGCATCCATACATGGAACATCTCACATTATTACGCAGTATCCGTAGGTACAGCTTCTGAGGTATCCGTAGGCACCTTGGGTATCCGTACCTATGCACACCGCGACATTGGCACACCCACCCACCAACCATGCACGCACACCCCCTCTACCTTTTACACACCCGGTCGTCCTTCTTCGTCTTCTTCTTCCTCCTCCCCTCCCCCCTTCCCTCCATGGCGGCATGCCCCGGGCAAGTCGAGGTGGAAAAGATGAAAGGTATCTTTGTAGCGCGCACTGTACTCTACAACCCAGCTAGCACTTGACACCCTGGTCGCACCCCCAAGGGCCCCCGTCGCGACTCTGAGGACTCCGTACTCGAGTAGAGAGGTCCAGGCAGTCCAAGACCGCCACCCCCCCGCCTTTCGTTTTTCCTTAAACTGTCTGGTTATGGCCGCAGCCCGTGCTACCACCTCACTATCCTCTTTTCATTCACTCCGCAGTTCCCTTTCGCCTTATCCTCAATCGAGCTGCTTTTCCCCAACTGACACTTGTTGCTTGTTTCTGGGAGCAGGGGAAATCGCTTGAACCACCAACGACATACGTCCAAGCCGCCCCGATACCGAATCGACCTATCTGTATCCGTACCCGTCGCTTCTTGTCCCCTTTTTTTCCTTTTCTAGGGGGCGTCCAAGAACCCGTTCTTCGGCTCCGTGGATTCCATCGAAATCCGGACGAGAGAGATACGACATCCCATCCATCTCACCCTTCACACTTCACCCTCACCCACCCGGTACCTGACCTGACCCGGTCTGGCCTGACAACTGACCCTTGGTCCAACGTCTCTCTCTGGCTCTGGACTCTCGGCCTTACCCTTCCCTCCTTGCCCCCCCTTCAGGTTCCCCCCAGTCTCTCTCTACTCGGTCTTCTCCCCCCGTCAAAAAAGGGATCCTCCCAAAAAAAACCGCCGAGTGACCTCTACTTCTTCTCCCACTACCCCCGACCCAAGTTTCTCACTCGAGTCGCGTTTTTCCTTTTTCTGCGCGGTCCACGGTCCACCCCAACGCACCACGCACCTCCGCAGAAATACCTACACAAATCCGCTCGGCTCATAACCCGCACCGCATCCAGTTCGTTTCGCCAGGCCAAGCCATCCCGCTTCCGCTGCGAACAAACCACCACCACAATCCACCATCCACCACCTGCTTCCGTTACGCTACCTTGTGCTTGTCTCCAAAAAGACCAGCTTCCTTCCACCACCGCCAACCATCCACCGCGCGCGCGCCTCCTGTCAAAAAAAATAGTCGCCGTCGACTATTGACTATTTCGGACAAATCTTCTCTCTGTCCACTGTCCGCTCTGTGGCTACCGACAAGCAACAAGTGCATGTCAGGCACGGAAGCTCCAAAAGTCAAACAAAGCAAATAAAAAATTAAATCAGCAAATTCCTCGCTTCCGTTGGTCGGCAGGGAAAAAAAAAAAACAAAAAAGGTACTACTACACACGCAACCGCGCTATCAGTCGCCCGCGTAACCTACCCACCTACCACCTGCCTTACCAACTCCTACCTGCCATCTTTCTCAATCAGTCAACCTTACCTGCCTTCCCACCTCCACCACACGCAAGGCACCGCATCCGCTCCGCACCAGACTCGATACAGGTTACCTCCCGTTCCGACCTGCCTCCTTCTGCGACAACATCCAAGCTACACACAGCAAGAGCTCATCCACCCTGATCAAGTATAGATCAATCGGCACCACGCTCAAAGCAGTTTCTCCACCGTTTTTACCTTTTACTGCCTTGTGATACCATTCAAACCACCCTCGCACTTGACCACAATGGCCGACATCACCGATCAACACGACCAGACCTCGCCTACCGACCTCGACGAGTCGCAGGTTGGCAACGGCAGCGTCGCTGAGAACAGAGGCGTCAAGCGCCAACGTCCCAGCACCGCCGACGACGACGATGACGATGACGAGAAGGGCGGTCGCGAGCGTCGCAAGATTGAGATCAAGTTCATCAACGACAAGTCTCGTCGCCACATCACATTTTCCAAGCGCAAGGCTGGTATCATGAAGAAGGTACGTTGACACTGCCAATCGCTCCCCATCTGCATCGAGGTCGAAGAAGCAATCTGCAAGATGACATGCGACTCCTGCTGCCTGCACCAGCCCAATTTTTACCTGTTCATAATGCTAACCAGCTTATCCACTAGGCCTATGAGCTCTCTGTCCTCACTGGAACCCAAGTGCTCCTCCTCGTTGTTTCCGAGACGGGTCTCGTCTACACCTTTACGACACCAAAGCTGCAACCTCTTGTCACCAAGGCCGAGGGCAAGAACTTGATTCAGGTATGCGCTCTCTGCTTCAACCAACGCAAATTGAAGGAAGAAACAAAAGAAGACAAATCTGACTCTTGATACAGGCATGCCTGAACGCACCCGAGCCCTCCCAAGGCGGCGAGAACGGTGTCGACGACTCGAACCAGGTTGACTCCCCCGAGGAGCCTCCCCAACAGCACCTGCCCCCTCAAGCAGGACGCCAGGGTATGCCCCAATCTCACATGCCTCCCAACTACATGCCCAACGTCGGCATGGATCCTTCTCAGGCGCTCGCCTACCAGAGTTACGTCCAGCAACAACAACGGGGTGGTGGCTACGCTATGCCGCCGCAGTCTGGTCTTCCCCAGCACACGTCGCATCAGTCATGATCGCCAAGTTCATCATGACTTTTGCATTTCCCGTTGATACCAGACACACATCCTGCATCTTCCAGACTTCGCTCGCCGGCATTCGTCATTTTCTTCACCCGGCGATGAGGCTCTGGTAGTTTGGCGTTACAGTTCGGTGCTACCAATTGCTGCATCTCGTTCCACTACGTTTTCTTTTTATTTCTCTTGATCCCAATTTCCCTTTTGCTACTACGACTCCGCCGGCATCTCGCAACTCGGATATCCTTGAATTTGAATCTTCAAGGAACACAGTATTGTGCGATACCGTTATCGCGGAGCGGATTTTAATGCTGTCTAGCTGGGGAAACACGGGGAACATAACGAGAGACATGGCGACACTGAGGAGCATGCGATCAGGAGACATGGGGTATGGGTGGCATTACGACGGCGGCGGTCTCATTGAGCGCGGCATGTCTGTACCTCGCGACAGGCGGCGTGCTGTCTGTGGACGCGAGTTTGTATGGCATCGTTGGCCATTTTTCGTCTTCGTTCATTTTTTCCTTCTTCTCCAGTGGCGGTAGGGGGGGGGGGGGGGGTTGTGTGGTTGGAGAAAGCTATGTCTTGCGGAAGCAGGGTGGGGGAGGGTTTCCGGCGCGGGAGGGGGAAATGTTCTTTTCCAGCACGAGAGCACGATATCTCACGGCTGGGGCAGGCACATCTTTTTTTTTTTTGGAATGGACTGTGATGATTTCATTAAAGTCGATGATCAACGAGGGAGCAGAGAGACGTCCGCAGGACCATTTCGTACGCTCCAGAACCCGTTTTTCTCTCACTACGCTGCTCTGCGAGGAAATGTCTTTTGGGTTCTTTTACTCCGTAGGACTCGGCACGATACCCCCCGGCCCTGGGCAAATCAACAAAAAGCTACATTCACACTGCACCCATTCTCGCCCCTCTTTGCTATCACCGTCGTCGTTCTATTCAGAGACTATCATTGGTCTTCTGGGATACAGGGGGGGGGATCAAACACACCGAGGGCCCGGAGAGCGCCGGTTGTGAAGAAGGGAAGGGATGAAGAACGAAAGACGAGTCCTAAGAATACGGAGAAGAAGAAATGTCTCTACAAACCTGTATGATAGTATATCCGCGTGTGCGCGCCCCCTTGCGATTATTGTTCTTCCCCCCATTCACCGTCTTCGTACCCAGAACTACCACTACTAGAAAGTCAGGACCTGACGAATTGCTAATCTTTTCAAAACGTTTTACACTGTTGTACTTTGCTCATGAAGCAGTGCTAATGGGAGAGAGTCTACGATTCGTACAAGAATAAACAAGCGCATGCAGGTTCCTAGAGCAGCAAATCATGGGGCGGTGAGATGTCTACCGGTAGGTAGGTCGTACGGCCGGCCAATCATGCGTGAATTGATCCGAAGTGACATTTGGACAACATTTCGAGGCGTGTAGGTAGCTAGGTAAGCAGCTGACTGGGTAGGTTGTTTCCGTCAAGTCCAGAGGAGAGAGAGACTTTTGCTTACACATCCAGATCTTCTCCCGACTCCTTCCAAAGTTCCTCCGCTTCCCCCGCCTGCGTCCGTCCGTCCGTCCGTCCGTCCTCGACGGTGGACGCGATTCCGTTTGCGGACTCGAACAAGCAAAAATTAGACTCGGGTCTCGTTCGGTTTGGTTTGGTTTGGTTTGGTTTGGTTTGGCAGTGCGCAGTGTCCGTGGCGCATGCGTGAAGTGTGTGGTGTGCCGTCATGGTGACATGACAAGTGATTGAACTCTAAAGGTGAAATGCGAGACACGAAAGAAGGGAAAAAAGTAAACACACACAAAGGGGTGCCGGCAAATAACCTACCTACCCGCTACCCAGAAGGAAAGGGGAGGGGAGGTGGGAAGACAAGCCCGGTCGTTTTTTTAACAGCTGCCCGACAGCATAAGGTAGCGTGGGCTCGATTGTCAAGCGCGCGCAAGGTTTTCACAACTGATTTTGGCTTCTGTCCTGTCCATACAAAAGGGTTGTGTCATTTCTCCTTGGAATTTCCTAATTAATGCAAGCTCGAGCGGGCACCAAGTACGAGCCAACCCCTACCGTCCGGTTGCTTGCTTAGTAGACTTGTTGACAGTTTGACGTCCGAGGGAGGGGTGGGAGAACCTGGCTAAGTTCCAGACCGCCCTTGATTGAGGGAGGTTAATTTGTCGACATGCGCTCTCTTATTCTTGTTCTTGTCAGTGTAGCAAAAGTAGACGCTGTCGTCGTGTTGGTATGCGGTTGAATAGCCCGCCGACAACTTGCCTGATTAGGTCAAACAGCGGATCTCTGGTTCCATTCATGGGCGAGTATCCGTAAACTCACTGCAGACTTCTAAATGGCGGGAACTCGGGATGCAAGGGGCAGGATAGAGATTCGAATGCTGCTTTTGGCCTTCTCGCGCGCTGTGATTCGGTGAACGATAGACCCGCTCGTGGCACGGCCGGCGCAACCTAACTGCTGGGCGCGGGCTGACATTGTCAGTGGACCTACGGGTACTGCCCGCCCTCGTGTTTCGCCGCTGTTACTAACAGGGTGCGCGCTGTCTGAGGTGCACCTCCGCAGCGCGGCTTCGGCGACCGCTAGCGGGGGTCCAGCGGAGAAGTCGAAGAGGGAGGGGGGCAGCGCGTAAACATGGCGCGAAGAACGACGCATAACCCTCTTGGCTGTCAAAGAAGAAGAGGCTCACGTATATCTCGTCATCGTGGTCGGTCTCTCCCGTCAGTCGAACTTGACTTGACTTGTTTTGTTTCTGGTGATACAGTGTGCAATTGGCCAGAAGAATCATATTCGACTGGTCGGGAGAGTGAGACTGATCAGATCCTGACGTGTCACATGCGCATCTGTGAGCTTAAACTCTTTTCTTTTGACCTTTCTGCAGCGGGGTAGATTCGACATCTTTGGAAAGACGCGTTTCCAGCTGTGAGGTTTCCTGCCAGGCAAATGTATGTCTGCTGTTCATGGTGGGGAAGGTCCTGTCTGGATTTGGATGTGAGCAGGGACAGCTCGTTGCCTTTTTGGGCCTGGCGGGCTTGACGGGATTTGCGGCGAACCGGTCCGCTGCAGTCTCAATATGATCAGATCTAGATCTAGCCGGACAATTTTGGAGCTACTCCAACCTTTGCCTTGTCTGCTATATTCCGGGGCCGAGCATCTATGCAGTAGTTTTGTGTCATCTGTGTAATCTCGGGAACGGCATATAAGGCTGCATAGGGTATCAGCCCAGCCCTCCCTCTCTGTAGTCCATCGACAAGGATGTGCAAGGAAGAGGTTGATTTTGAGTTGACAGGGTCGGCGACCTCTTGGACACTTCACACATGGTTAAATGCCGAGTTCCAAGGGCCCATTACCATGACTGGGCTGGATGCCGGTCCCGAGGTCAATTCCTAGAATACGGGAGACATCGCCGCAGGTTGGGCCAGTAGGAAGCGTAGCAAGCTTCCAGCTGATATGTGAGTTTATCTTGTTTGTTTTCTGGTGGTCTAGGGCTCTTTGGCATCGTCGGACATTGCAAACATAGACTGATCCTGCTAATGTTTGAGGAGATGGTGTCTTGGGCGGTCTCCGCGCTCTCCCCCGCGTAGAGTTTCGTACTCGATAGCACTCGTCTTCTCGTAGTGAGCCTAGGCTGAGTCCTTGTTAGTCCGGACAACCAGGAACTTTACATCGTCTCAACTGCTCCTCTACGAGACGTACAGAGAGGAGAGACGCCCACAAAGTCCCGAGGCTCGAAGATGATTGCTTTGTATCGCACAGTGCTCGGAGTTGAGCTGCGTCTCATTGCCAATGATTGCCCATCTCCGGGGTTAGGGACAGATATCGTGGACTCCGGGTAAAGCGAGAGCCCCGCACAGCCACGGCGCTCCCGTCGTCTGTTGTCGTCTCCATAGCGAATTGTGACCCGATTGGAGCGTGGCGGTCAAGATGCTACGGATGGCAGGGTTCAACCGGCTTATGCTGTATCGGACAATGCAAGCTTGCGTCGTGACATCCAAACATAGTCTTCCGGCGAAGGAGGTGGTGCGGATATATCTTGCTTGTCTCTCGGTTTCTGACACTGGTGCTAGCAACGCCGGTGAACATGCGGCAACCTCGTAATTGTGTTGGCCATTCGAAGGTCTGCCGTAGAGAAGAGGTCGTCGAGATAGAGCGTCGATACATTTTGCCCGTCCCATGTGGAAGTTGCCGTACCCCTCTGCAAGATGGCCAGGAACGAAATTTGACTGGAACGGAGCATCGGAGGAGTGAAACTTCGAGGTCCGTCTGGAGGGGAGCTGTTCAGATGAAACGGGCAGAAACAAGCTTCGTGGAAGGACGGGTTCTTTCAAGAGTGCGGAATTGGAGGAAACACTCCACATGCTGCTATGCCACGCTGGGTGACGTCGCCTCTGGGACCGCGACTCGAGATGCCAGGGCGCGAAGGGAGGATGCCTGCTGATACACCATAAGAACGTATCCGTACTCGCAAAACATGTGATTGGGCGTACATTCGACTGTTGATGTACGAATAGTCCTAGAAGAGATGTACAGGCTGCTGATCTTATCGTTCGTCTTGGGTTGCACGGGTTGCTACCCTTCAAATTGAACCCTGCGTGCCTGTCTGTCTTAGTGATGCCCTTGCGTAGGGACAGAATTTGTGGGCTGACAAGCGTTAGCCACCTCCCATTGTATCTTTGGCCGAGTGATGCGGACAACTCGGCATGCGGCTCCTTTTTAATTCGAACCATTTGATGTTCGAAGACTTGACTTGGGAGAAGTGGGAAGAGGATGAGTGGACGGCTTAGGCGATGTGGCACAGCGACTAAGGCACCATGGGCACCTACTCCGGACCTACCAACGGTAGGCTTGCTTGGTGGCTTCCACGGTGGCTTGGTACGTCTCATCTCGCAGGAAGGACGTACCTCAGGTAGGCGACGGACTGAGGGAGTTTGAGAAGGTTTCTGCACGGGCCAGAAAGGGCGCTAGACCCCTTGTATATGTACTTGCTGCGCTACCACCACACGACCGAAGGAGAAGGAGGGAACTCGATATTGGGTACCGAATCTGTACACACAGCTTCATTATCAATCGTCACTGCTTTGAATTTGACAACCGTAGGCTGCCCTTGAGTGTACAATTTATTTCGTGCGACACAATACAGCGAGTGTAATCTCCAGCCGGAAGTAGCCTGGCAATTTCCTTCGCATACGATTCAAAGAAGGGAAAAAAAATTGAAAAAAAGGACGTGTCGTCCAAGGCCTGAGAGATGTCGCGTTGCCCATTCCTTCGTGGTCGCATTCATCGTATCCATATGCCATGATCCAGCATCCGTCCATCACTGGAGTCACCGCATCGTACAATAACAAGTGAATTGGGGAGAAAAGTCTAGTCGATATTGTCTCCGTAGATGCTGCTGATAATTCACTAGTGCTCGCCCATCGTGGCAAAGCGGCCAACGGCGAGACTGCCCAGGAAGACACCACCGAGAACCGAAAGGAGATATCCAACATTCATTGTCATGACAGCCAACATCCTGCGTGAATTATTAGTAATGTTTTTCATGATAGCAGGAAAGAGAACACATACAGAAGATATCCAACTCCGGCGATAGCGGTATCAATGACGGCGCGGACAGGATCAACGGAGAATCTCCAAGGCCTCCAGATGCCGTGTCCCTTTTGGACGACGGTGACATTCTCCTCGAGGCCGTTCTCAGAAAGTACCATTTGCTTTGCCATGCTGTCCGTTGACATCTTGCCTGCCATGCCGAGCTTGCCATTGACGCTGACGTAGCGGCGCTTGAAGTCCTTGTCCAACCATCTCTTCTCCTGAATGGACTTGAGAGCCAGCATGCTGCGAAGACCGAAGGCGAGGAAAATGAGAAAGATGCACGTGGCGGCGTAAGTGCCAACGCTGTTGGGGGTCCAGGCTTCGGTGTAAAGAGGAGTCTTCAAACTAGTCTGGAAGATGGTCATCATCATCATGCTCATGCTTGAGCCGGTCGAGCCGTGGGTATCATTCATCGTGCCGGAGCCCATATCCATTCCCGGCATGGCATCCGAAGCAGTTGCAGTCCCCGTCGCTCCGTGGTCATCACCACCGTGCCTTGCCATGAGAAAGCTGTCCATATTTGCGGATATCGTGGCGGAGCGGTCGACGCTGGCGTATGAGAGCTGGCAAACAATCGAATATTAAGGGAGTGACGGTGCGTATTATGTACGGTTTTACCAGGCTCCAGTCCCGGCCGTGGAGTCAGTTATTACTTAATATAGGAAGTAAGAGGGAGCGTCGTGGTCCTTCAGATGGATTCGCCAAGATGAGGGGAACAAGGCGGCACGGGCGATGTTATAGACTGGCAGCGAGAAGGTTTGCGTGGGATCTTCAGACGCTTCAAGCAGGGAGGGTGTTACGAATAAGTCTTCGCGATACTGCGGCGAAACGAGAGCATGTTGTGCATGAATGGGAAGTCGACTTGGCTCGTGCCAAGATGTAGGAGGCGGACGGTCGTGACTTTTTGTTGTTCCTGCCGGAGGGCCTGGAAGCTTGGTTACACCCTGGTGAGACGGGCAACCGGCCACATTCTGACCTAAGACTGCGTTAGCACCAAGTTGCGGCATCACGCGAGACAATCTGCTAAGGCCAGGAGAAGGAGCTGATACTGGGCATCAGGGAACATCAGGGAACGCCCCTTCGGCAACTTGCGCATGGGTGGAGTTTGCGACGATGCCAAGGCGGGGTCTTCTCCACTCTGCTCCTTCTAATTGGTCTCCATCCCTTTCTAGCTTCGATAGCCTAAAAGAGCAAGAAGTATCGTTACCTTGTCGTGCTAACAATTTCTTCCAAGAGTGACACCCAAACTCAACTTCCATCTATTCTGCTCTCAAACAAACTGCTCACCGCGTGTCTCGACATCGGCCGTTTTCTCCCCCCGTTGCGGTGTTGCTCGCCTTTGCTTTTATCGGCCTCCCACGTAACAAAACTTCGAATGAATCACGAGACGAAAGAAGAAATAATGTTGTTGAGTTGAACGTTGTTTGCTGGCTACCCTGTGCCCAATGCAATTACCTACCTTATCTGGACGTTGTTTCCGTCAATCGCACCCCGAGCCTTACTAGCACGGGATTCTCCGGCGGCCTCACCTCTCTATTTCCAAATATAGCTCTTCGACACGATATCTGTAATTATTCGGAGACAGCAGCATGGGCCACTGAGGGCGAAAGTTCCAGGCCAGCCGTGGCTTTGTCTTTGTTAGTACTCGATCGCAGTTCCCGAACAGGGGTTGATGGTTCGACGGTCTTAGACGGAGCTCCTTGCCGGCCACCTCAACTATGGTGCTTGGCAGAAAAGACTTCAGCCCAATACGTCTCCAAGACTGTTCGAAACGACTCTTGCGGCTCATGTTGTCCACAAGAGCTGAGTACGCTGTCTCAAGTGTCGCTGCCGAGCCCAGAGTTTGGTATTTCATCACATTCATCCGAAGTCGTCTCGGGCCACCCTATTCTCGGCCATCCCAAAGCACCACCAGGGAAGCTCTTCCCACAATCTCGCCCTGAGCCCGCCAATCGCAACCGCAGTCTTTCGATCTCTGCTCTTCATTACCCCAAATATGTGGTTGATCCACCGATGGGCGAGCACGTTTGGCGCTCGACCTGCGCATCATCGCCCCGATACTTCGTCACGCCCCACTTCTCGCGTGCCACTCTGTTCCTGCCGCTCCTTGAGCACGATTGCCGACGATTCTTTCAGGTCCACCAGCATTCAGCCGAGTTTCATAACCCTCGTATTATCTTTGATAAGCCAGCTCCATCGAACTCGATGCCTCAGTGTATAGGCCGTTTTGACTGATTCGAAAGAAACCAAGAAACTCCCAGAGGTCAATATCAGCATGGCCTGAAGCGTTGAGCATGCCTAGTTGACTGGCGGACCAACCCAGTAACGCTCATGAGCCGGAGAAGTCGTCCATTGACTATCTCGCTCTCAATGACTCGATGTATCAAGTATTCGGCAAGTTGAATCGAAACCCCCAACGACGTGAACCACGACATCACCAGCACATAATCGATGATTGTGAACTTCGGTTACTCGCAAAGGTCTTCGCCTGAGAGCAGCCTGCTTCTATACGTTGCAATCGATGTCAGATGCGACTCTAGGCGGCAACTAATGGGTTGATCTGCAATGATCCTTGGAATGGACGACGTCTGTCAGTATGTCAGTGCTTTGGAACCTCGAGATCCGGATGCCGTGTCTCAGAGGAGAGGGTGTGCAAGAAGTCTGGGCACAACTCAACCGTCTGCCGCAGCCACTTTCAACGCAGACCGCGTCGGTTCATCGTATCACAATTGCCAAAATCTCCCGGTAGGTAAAGGTTAGAATTGTTCCACTCAACTATATTGAGAGGTAACTGCAGCCAGGTTCCACGAGTATGTTCGACCTCTTCGGTGGAAATGGTAGTAACTACCATGTCGATGGAAACTTGAAGTTTGCCGGAAAGGTCGTCTCTTCTGGAGCCAAGAAGCTGTACTCTTCTATACTGTTTTGCTGCCACCACTCTAGTATTTGTTTACGCCTCAAGATATTCCTATTCCATGGAGTCAGATTCCTCGCAGCCCGGATTTCGAGTGTTGGAAGGAGAAAACGGACATGCTTGATCTTCGAGCTCCCGGATCCAAGCCAGGTGTCGAGCAAACACTGGATCGCAGTCTATACGTTCCGGAAACAAGATCGCGAAGTGAGAGGCTTCGTCCAATGCTTGTCATGATTCGAAATGCAACTTGAATGCTTGCGCGAGGTCGCGTCCGCGGGGGCGCGTGGAGACTGCAACTTCAGAAGCAGGGGTCACCGGTGATCATTGACCCGAGTCCAATGCAACCCTAGCGACATCGAGATTAGTTGAAGTCTTGCGATGGTTCTCGTTCGCCAGCACAGAGTGCTTTTGACTGCGTCTGTTTCTCCTTTGAGTATATACGTTAATGTCCCACGATGGCATGCAGCTGCCCGTGAGCGTCGGACGATTCCAGCAAACGCTGAGGTCTGTCTGGCCCAAGTTTACGGCCTAGGTTGACTCCGAGGCCTGACCGACATGCGTATCGGCTGGTATGCTTCGGTTGGGGGCTTCCGTTGCCCCTGGTCAAGGGGAAATGATCTGCACCAAGCCGCAAAACCATCCACGGAGATTGAACGGTTGAAGGCGAAGAACAAGACACAGGGCATTCCCCAAGCTGCATCCAACCCAAATCGCGGGGCCGGGCCGGGATCAAGGGGCGACATCGCAAGTTGCCGAGCCTAATTCGACGACTTGCAACGGACGCCCTTGCGAACTCCTCCACCATTATCAAAGTCCACGTCTGCTCTGTTATCAATCATACCTTAGCCATCGAGAGCCGGCCTTGACACATGGCTATCAATCTTCATAGTCTCTTCATAGTCGCCTTTGGCCGTGGAAACATTTAGCGAAAACAGGCGACGTTCGAGACGTACAGCAATTGCGACTACCGAGCTATTTGCGCGATCAGCAGTTCGAAATACTGGAACCGCGACCCATGTGGGGTTTGGCTCGCCTATGTACTTGAGCATGGCCACCCTCAAGCGCATGTGGTATGCGCGGAGCTCGACTACCTAGCATTCGATCCTCGACTATCTCGACCGTTACCCATGGCAGAAGCACCGGCGCAAACTTTGGGAACTACTTCGACACTGTGTGTTTTGACCACATACCGTAGACGCCTGGCCTGTCCCGCATTTTGGTACAGGGGATTTACGATAACCAATATATCCGTACTCAAGGTCGCGTAATATTAACGGCAGCGATCTTGCTGCAACCGCGTCCTCTTCCACAAATCGGCTCGAGCCTAGGGACATGGGTCTTGGCCTTAGAAGAGCATTGCGCATGATCAACTCACAAGTCGAACCATTGTACAACAGTCAAACTTCAGACCAATCGGCAAAGGGATGCATAGTAGACGTGGTCTTGATTGCTTACTATGGATGCCACCTATGAAAGGACAGGGAGGCATTTGTTGACAACTCTTTCCAGGTCGAATTCGCAGCTACAATTAATTTCAGCAACGACGAAATCTCATCACGCCAATGAATTCAGAACAATCTATTCCGGCCGAATGTTGTCAAGACTAGAAAGCGACATGCTGTTTCGGCAAACCGGAATGCGAGATTGTCGTCGTGGGAATCGTTAGTCTGCGTCCAGATGTTCAGCCGTTGCCGCTTCGAGGCTGCCGCTAGGCTCGAAGAGGAACCGGAAGACCAGCCTTGAGGCGTTCTGCTCGGGCGCTGATCTACGAAGGAGCATTCAAAAGATTAGGTATCAATCACATTGGGGGCCATTAGAAACGAGATTGCACTTCAGCCCACCGATACCTCCTCCTACCTATTTACATCCTACCACACGAGCATTGCTTAGGTGGCGCGGCTAGACATGCCCTCTTTACGTAGTACCAAGGAGGCTGACAACGTCCTTGTTCATCCCACTTTCTCAAGATTCGTCGCAGCTGGAGAACACAAGCCTTTTTCTATTCCACAATGAGGAGTGCAAGAATGATAGAAGAGAGCACAAGGACCGTCCGCCATCAACGTCCGCCATCTGACCGACATACTGGGCGGGACTCATTTGCCGACTTCCTCCCCCACCTCTCTCTATCCAAGTGGACGAACTACGTACGGCTGAGGATGCTTGCATCTTTGGTGCAGGCAAGCAAGTGACTCGATTGCCAAGGAGGACGCACATATGCAACACTCTAAGCTTGGCCAGTCAGGTGGTCAAACCATTGAAAGCTGGGTGAGATGATGCCTATGTCTTTCCGCACACCCACCCTCACGTATCCTGGTGAGTAGGACAAAGCAAGGCAAGAGGAGTCAATGCGGTTGGTAGGCGAATCTTCGCCACTTCGACAGTTTCCGTTGAGTGGTGTTTCCCACCCTCTCTAAAGCGTCAAATGAATTGACAGTCTATCTTCAGTAGCGTTGATACCAGGCCTTGTCAAACAATCGGCGCACTCCATGAGGTTGACCAGGGCTCTCAGGTGTGTTAACCGGCTGCAGCTCGACAACCGATTCTCATCGAATCCGCATGCTCAAAGTGGAATGGCTTCTCTGACCTATGCACTAGTGTTGCCGCCGGCTCTGAGAGAAAGGGGGAAAAGGGGAAGGGCTAGAGGTTCCCCGGGAGGAGGCGCCTCACACACCTTCGCCAGCCCATCGCGTGGGAGTGATAGGAATGCTTGTCCATGGGCTCCGCCCTACCACCCCACCTTGCTCTAGCCTTTCCCTCTCCTCCCCCTTCTCATTCCACCCTCTCGCGCGTGTGTGTCTCACCTCACGTCAGGTTCTCGATTCAGCTCCGCAGCCGGATCGCTTTCACCAGCCCCGCTACTCTATCCCCCCCCGCTTGCTTGGCTTTGTTCTCCATCAGACCGGAGCATTTCGAACTGGCCATCACGGCTGTGTACGACAGAATGAGCCAAAGTTGGAACGCAATCAATACTTTACCAGCTCCGGACTGGGACAATCTCTCTGGTACATTGAATCTTCGTTGCGCGATGGGGCCGAGCCCATCAAGCTGCACACTTTCCGCAGATAACCGACATGCAAGGGAGTCTAGACTCTTCCGTATTGATCGCATATAGCTTCTAGGTCAACTTTGCGTATCTTTGACGAATCCCCAGCGGGATATCCAACAGCGGGATAACGCGCAACAAACTCTCACGGATACTCCGCTCATCAGGCCAGCAAAACGCTCACCATCTACAACGCTAGGATCACTCTGCACTTATGCTCACTATCACAAAGATACTGACTTAAGCTTCGTGACTGCAGCCTTGGAACACGGCGGGCGACTCGTGTGCAACATGAATACGGAAGGAAGGGGGAAAGTGCAGAGACTGCTCGTACCACGACTGCACCGTGTTTCTCCTTCCATCCATTCCCGCTCAACAGCTTCCTCTCGGACAATTTTTCTGCCGGAACGAGGTTAATACCGAGAAAACACGGCTGGCTGACGAACATGTGGTTTGCTTCCCCGACGATCGACTAAGGAATCCCCAACACGGTCGCACAAGCAACGTCCTCCTTTCGTCAGAAGCATACCATCTTTCTCATTCTTCTTTGAAAGAGGAGAGTCTCGAAGAGCAAACTTGACCCAAAGGAGCATAAAGGGGGGGATAGAACTGATCTACCTAGGTACTGCGCATTATGAATGCTTCCCCAATGTCATCTGATGTTTTGAGTATGGCGCGCGGCGCCGGCGGCGCCCAGCGCCTCTTTTTTCCTTATGTTATTTTGCAACTGCAGAGAGCGAGAGACCGACACCTGCCATCCCATCCTCTTCGCTCTACTCTAATGCGGCCGTTCACGCACGCCAGCACGTTCCCTCACGCCCAAGCTTCAGAGAGCAAACGAGAATTCGAGAAAATAAAAAGCCAAAAAGCCAAAAAGCCAAAAGGGAAAGGCACACCCCCATACGCCCTCCCCGCCAGCCTCGTCCGTTCCGTTCACGCCATCCTTTTTTTTTTTTCCCACACGTTAGTCTCTGCACGTAATCCTCCACTAGGCCAGGGCTCTAATCTGCCTTTGGTTCGGATGAGGGTGAGGGGGGGAGGGGATGAAGAAGAACTTGATTCGACCATTTTCGAACATTGACAGAAAAGTCTAGGTTACTGTTTTGATGGATCCTTACGTACAGCTGTGTCTCTGATGATGATTTCTTGTCGGTTCACTTGTTGACGTTCTTAATTTGACAGTGTGTGGATATGCCATGCTCTGTGGACGTCTATTCCCTCTAACTCGCCGAGGTGGTGTTCTGTTCTGTGAGTGTTCATTAGGACGTGAGCACACGATAAACCATCGCGGTCAACATTATCGACCGAGCTTAGATCTTTTGAAGCTATGGGCAAAAGAAATTGTTCTTCACATGCCAATTTGCCAATTTCTCGTCATCATGGTGTTTTTCAGAAGGCGATGGACTGCCGTTGTGACACATTCAGAACCGAGGGGCCCATCACTGTCCGCGATACTTCAATATATGTGTAGAACATTACTCATTTCTCTCGAAATTTTCACTCCTGGTCAGTGACACAGGAAATGCTCTCGTGCGTTTGTAATAATGTACAGTCTCCTGTCTCTTGATAATCTTGGTATCTTCCAAAGCAGTCCCTGATGCCCAACTCCACTATCCCACCTTGATAACCTGCGACCTCTTGCGTACAAAACCCAACCGTCCCAGATGCCCGTCCAAACTTTGACAGAATCAATGACTCAACCTTGACCTTCGTTTTAGGCAACCCTCCGTCATCGTGATCCATCCGATTCGTGAGTGCCTGCGCCAGTTTCCGTTTTCCCGATGTATAGGTGTTCCGTGGAGCCGTACCCAGTTTGGCATCGCCCCTATCCCGCATCCGTATGTAGCGAGGGCGATGCCGCAACCATTCGCCGTAAAAACAAATCCGACCCCATGTGTCCTGTCAACTGATTCTCGTGCCCACGAGTGAATTTTCCGAAAAGCATGTAGCGAAAGAAAGCTTTGGGAACAAAAGTGACAATAGTCCCGACTGGCCCCCTCTATGACCCTGGTAGTCTCTTTCCATTAATGTTCCGTGGTATCGGTATAACGCCGGGATTTTCGTGTATAGCCGTGCGTGTAGTAGAAAAGAAGATACGAGATACGGCCCGTCATCGAATTATAAATAAGTTTTCAAGAAAGGTTTTCTCTGAATGAAGCGTCTGCCGCTAGGCATTATTCCCCGCAAGGCCAATGGTGCCTTTCGAATTTTCATTGCATCCGTGATATCCCCACGCAGTGGTTTCGATAGTTTCATGTACGAAGGCATTGTCATCGCGGTCGAAAGCCAAGTTGACATGTGGCTACCTGAGTAGATGATGACCCTGTCGGGATGTGCCAAAGACCATGGGTGATGTAGGCCGTGTGATTAACAAAGCATCGTCGAATATTGAAGGTCGTGAAAGGCACTCTATGACCATCTACTCTCGCTTGAGTGGAGGAGTTCCGTCGTCAGAGTGATCTTGCGAGGAGCGTCGCCCGTTCTCGTTTTGACCATCACCCTCCTTGGAACCACACCCTTTGACTAGACGATGTCTCTGCGATATTGGTAAGCTTTTGTTGTTTTGCTAAAGCAGGAGTTTGCAGTGCAAGTGTTTCTTGAGATGTTGATGGCTTACCTTCAAGGCGTCCTTGCGAGAAAAGCTCTTGTCGCAAAAGTTGCAGGGGAAGGGCTTAACTGCGAGGTGGATTCTCTTGTGTCTCTTCAGATCGTGGTTTCGGTTGAAGGACTGTGGGCACTGGTCGCACTTGAAAGGCCGTTCGGCTTGCGGGTTGGGCTGCCCCCCGTGGGTGTGGCCGTACATTGATGGTGCAAGATGGTGCGCTCCATAACCGCCGGGGACGCCCATACCGTTGACGAGTGACATTTGGTGCCCAGGAGAAGTAAGGTTAGACATGATCGGTCCTCCCATCGATGGAACATGATAACCAGAGTAGCGGTAAGAGCCAGGAGGTGCCATCGCGGAAGGGTGTTGTAGAGCGGCAAGGCCTCTCCCGGGGCCCGCTGAAGTTGTTGGAGAGGGAGCGGTGGGCGAGGTGTGGGATTGTTGGTAGCTATTGAACGGCTGCTGGGGGGCAGAGGATGTCGAGTAGTAGCCGGGAGTCGCTGGTGGTCGAGATTGGTAGGAATCAATGTGGGAATGCAGACCGCCGGGCGTTGGAGGTTGCGTCGAGACAGCGCCGTGAGATCCAAGGATGCCACCCTGGGGCGTTGGTGGGCCCTGAGACGGCAAACTGACTGGTGTAGATCCCGCTCCTCCGTGAGAGTAGGCCTGGAAGGACTGATGCGTTTGCCCGTACGGTGGTGGAGGAAGGCCCTCGCCGGTTGCGGGTGATTGCGAAGTGCGAGAGTAGGACATTGGGGATTGCTGATCGTAGGTGCTTCCGCGGGAGGCATACTGAGAAGTCTGGACGAGCCCCTGAGGTGTCCCAGAACTAAGCTGGTATGAACTCGAAGGCGTAGGCCATGATCCGTGGCCGTTTCCTCCAGGATAGTAGGAGCTCTGGGAGCTCGTGGTATTGACACCGGAAGAGAGCGGGCTAAGCCCTTCACCTGGCACTCCTGAAGGCGATGTTAGACCAGAGCTGGCGGTTAGAGGAGAATGTTGAGTATTTGAGGCAGCGGAGGAAGAGGAGGGAGCCGACGGCGTAGCCATCGCGGGGGCTTGCCACGATGATGGCGACTGCAGAGGCTGATTGTGAAAGCTGAAGGGGTACTGATGAGAATGTCTACTCATACTCGGTATATCTTGGTTTGTCGACGGAAGATGAAAGGGGGGCAACGCCTGTGTTGCTTGTCTTCGAGCTGTGAAGCTCGAAGAAGTCTCCATTGCCATTTTGGGTGGGGGTTGTGGTGTCTGGAGTTTTGGTGATTTTTCGAATCCTCCTCGTTCTTTCCTGCCACGGGCAAGCTCTTGCTTTTTGGACTAGGTGTTTTTGGATCGTTGCTGCTGGGCGGACTAATCCAGCAGGCAGACTTTTGTCGGTACTTTGTGCCTGGCCGGAAGATCGGTGGAGCTGGAGCGGCAGGAGCAGCAGGAGCGGGAGTACAGAGTCTGAGGTGACGTGACTGAGCTACCAACCTTGACGGCAGGGCGCAGCGGATGTCAAGCAGAAGAAGGCACTTGGGTCTCCTTTTCTTCTTCTCTCTCTTAATCTCCTTCTCTGTACAGCTCGGAAGCAACTGCTGTTGGCGGAGACCGTCCTAGGGATGCGGCGTCGGAGCTGAAAAAAGCTGGAACTTCAACGCGGTGTTTAGGAATGCCACAGACGAGAGGATGCCGCCGCTACTGGATTCGACAACGACGATGACCGGTGACAGTCCAACACGGCGCAATCAGATGTCCAAAATCAGGTGGGTGGTGGAATGTCGTGACTTTGGGCTTGGGGGCAGGAATGAGAGAAGAAGGCAAGACAAGACAAGACTAGACAAAGCTGACGAGAGAAGGACTGCTCAGATAGCCCAGGTAGGTAGGTAGGTAAGGTGGATAGGTAGATAACCAGGAAGGGTAGTGTCAGGTATACAAGTATGGTACTGATAGTCAGGCCCTAGGATGAGGAGAGGAACGCTGCCCTGGGAGTAAGGCTTGATGGAAAAGGTGGATTGGGTTCGGAGTAAATAGATGGCAGGCCCGGCGGACGGGGTCGAAAGGAGGCTTTGTGTGCAGGTTTTTAAGCTATCCTTCGAGCGAGATGTCGAAAGGAGTTATCGTGCGTCGATCACCTTAGTTGCCAGTCCAGTCCCGTCTACCTTGCCAGTGTGGAGAGGCGGCTGTCGAATATATGTAGCTCGTTGATGGTGCGGGACTTGGACTTGGGACACTAGGCCAGGTGCGCTTAGGTCAAAGCCAGCCAGCCCTCTAGCTCGGGAGGGCTGAAGGGGGCTTGTGAATGGGTAAGTCCAACACCAAATGCTACCGGAGGACCCTGGGCGCCTCAGCTCCAAGTACCGGGGGTGGGCTATGTGTCTGACAATCCAGGAGAGATGGTCGATGAGGTACGGAGTAGCGCCTGCCCTACAACACGGCCAGAATGGACAGACAAATGGACGCTCGTGTTGAACCGTCTCGTCCCGTCCTGTCTGCTGCTCCTGATCCCTCTGTTATGCTGCTAGCTGCAATAAGAGTGACTTGTTGGAATGTCTGGTGAGCCAAAAGGGAGTAGAGGCGGTCGGTCTCGAGATAGTGTGTGAGAGTGAGAGAAAGAAGCAGGATGAGAGATGTGACAAAAACTCGTGCTTTTCTCTCCTCGTCAGTGTCTCTCCGAAGAGCCTGTCTCTCTCTTCTCTCTGTTGTCTCTGTGCCAGTCCGTACCCGCCCGACATTCGTCGAGTCCCAGCCGGAAGAAGAATCAAGATGCAGGAGAGGAGAGCAGTAGCCAGTCACTCAGTCACTCAGTTTGTCTGTAAGGTAGGTAGGTAGTGAGATAGTTGAGGTACCTCAAGAAAGGACTGTAGAGTCTTTCCCTGCCTTGGAGAAGGGTAACAGTGGCGTCTTTTGACTGTCCCTCCTCGGGCTTGGGACAACAAGGTCTGGGCGTTTAA